ATGCATCTCACATTGGGCTTGGTGCAGTATTAATGCAAGATGGCAGAGTGATTGCATATGCGTCGCGGCGGTTGAAGGTTCAGGAGAAGAATTATCATGTTCATGATTTAGAACTGGCAGCCATTGTTCATGCGCTAAAGATTTGGAGGCATTACCTCTACGGTGTCTCGTGTGAGGTATTTACTGATCATCGTAGCCTTCAGTACCTGTTCAAACAAAAAGATCTTAATTCGAGGCAGAGAAAATGGTTGGAGTTGTTGAAAGACTATGATACCACCATTTTGTATCATCCCGGAAAGGCCAATGTGGTGGCCAATGCTTTGAGTAGAAAGTATATATTAATTTTTGTCCCTCCGTGTTTAATCATTCAAGGCTTCGTGTAAGAGTTAAATAGAATTCTCTTACATGAATACAACAAAGAAATGATGATTTTATCTAATTTATAATTTTGGTATTTACAGAGTTTTCTCAAATTGTGTCATATTTATAGCAAATTTACTGGTTAAATAGATATTATCAATACCTTCATTTCGACTTTGTACACTACTGAGTTTAAATTAAGGTCCCTTAAATTAATGAGCCCAAGAAAGAGAAAAAATGGGGGGAAAAAGTTGGCAACAGAACCTGCGACTCTTTTTAGATGTTCACCAATACAACTGCTACTCATTTTCATGGAGTTCACTATAAAATCTCTTCATCATTTTCAGTTTCCTCTCTACAAAAATTACCATCCCCAATTCACCCATCTTCTTATTAACCTCCGCCCCGTCTCTACATTTCACCTTCAAGCCTCAAGACGCCGCATTTCCAATTTTCCTCAGGTCTTCTTGTTTATTCCTCCCTATCCAGCCTTTTCTTATATATAAAAAATAAAAATTCAACTTTATTTAATTAGAATCGGATATATGAGTTCTTTAGGTCCATTCCTCTTTATTTAGACCCTTTTAATTCTAATTCGTTTTTTATTTATTTATAGGGAAGTGATGATTTGGCTGGGGATTCACGAAACTGGAGGCGTGATCGAGGCAGCGTTGTGAGTGGAGACTATAAGTATGAAGAGTATGAAGATGACGATGATGAAGACGAAGAAGAGGAGGATCGAAGTTTAGATCTGCTGGTTAAATTTGTTCAGAGCGTTTTCAAAAAGCTTTCTCGAAAAGCTAGGAAAGCTGTCCGGTCCGTTTTGCCTGTTTCAATTTCCAGTCAATTGGTATCCTTCTGCTTAAATCTCATTTTCACTGTTCAACATGAAGAAAAATCGAATCTTTTATCTCTAAATCAAGCTTTCAATGAGTTTAGAATAATAACTTTGATATTGAGCTCCGTTTTATATGAATCATTCAATCAACTATGTCTCGGTCCCCAATTATTTGGGGTCGACTATATGAATCCTTTATACTCGTTCCAATCTGCTCAGGTTCGATTCATTCCAATGCTAATATTTAGCTCGTACTATTAAAATATACTGTATCATATTTCTTCGAGAAAATCCACATGGAATTGAATTTTTTTAGTCGCAAAGAAGGAAAACTAATGGATTAGACGTGCATTAAAAATGTGACATTGTGAGAGAAAAACCAAAGGAAAACAGAGATAGAGTAGCAAGATGATCACCTGATTCGGTATACATGTTAGGTGCTTAAACTTTCTACAAGTCTTTCTTTTTCCATCTTGAATGGTGATTTGATTTGAGAACATCGTCATCGACATTATTAACTTTTACTCAGCCCACTAACACTCCGATTATAGGAATTCATTGATTTTCTTTCGTGGATGCAATGCTTTTCATTGTCCTGATACTTTGTCCTTTATAACGGCTAGATTTAGCTCCTCCCTTTTTTTCGATTGGTAAAAGATTATTTCAATAGCACTAAGCATCACAGAACTAAGATAGTGCTGTAGATAGTGCGATAGAAAGAGAAAAGTGTCCCTGCTAGTCTTGAATGATGCTTACAAAAACCACAGTTGCCTCCCTTATCAGTTCTATAAGGTGCTAGGGTGCCTACAAATTATATAAGATTTTTAGCATCATCTGATTCTTTCTTTCACCAACAAATAGCACACCTTTACTTTATCATACTGATTGATTTCCCTTTAATTTCAAAGTACCTTGAGTTTCTTCTCTCCAATATGGCTATAATTTTCTTATTCTCTCGTTATAAAACCTGATAGCATAAGAATAAAATACCAGTCTTTGCTTACCAAATGTTACCTAATATCCTAGCAAGTTTAGCCTGCGAAGAATGATGCATCTTTAAAGGCATATCTTTGGGAATGGCGGTGGATGGGTATTGCATGTTTATATGGATCTTAATGACTCAAAAGGTGCAAGATCTCGGGGGTCCTGCTGGATTCACGTCACACAGAGGGCCACTGTGAATCCATTTGGATTTTTATGATCAACTGTACCGAATATGGAAAGCCCCTTTTTAGTATGATAGAGTTAAAATGTTAACTCTTTCAGCTGCAATATGTGCAAATGTGAATGTTTGCTCTCTAAGGAAGTTTAGATAATACTATAATTTAAGTAGAGATGATGTTAAGGAAGTTAAGATAAGGAAGTCAAAAAAAAATTTTATTTTTTCTGTTACCATTCTCAAAAAAATAAATAAATAAGGAAGTTGACTTGGTTATTGTTGAAGAAAATACTGTCATCTTGCACAAGCATGTTATTGGTGGAAGACTGAAGGTTGTGTGTATATTCACGTTCTTTGACGAGTGATATAGCAAATGAAGTTACAGTGATACCATGCATGTTACTAGACACTGTAATGATCTTAAAGTCATCTGTGTGGATAAATGGACCTTTACTTCATCCTTGCAATGGAGAATTAGCATCCCAATCAATGTGTAACATGGCAGAAATGCTGATGTGAAATTATGTTGGTAATTAATTATCCACGAGAATAATCTTAAAATCTGTTTGGCACGAATGTCTTCCAGAGATCACTCTTAAGTTCATCCTCCATCTGTCGATATTTAGTCCTATATTTATACACAGTTAATTGTATTAGGTTTCTTGTTTACATATAGAAAACAGTGCTTTGCTTTAAATGTGTAAGATCTCTACTAATTTAACATTTTCACAAGTTATCAAGAAGATTCTTTTTTAATGTTTTCTCAGATGATTTTTTGGTTCTCTTTGATTTGAAAAGTCCCGGTTTCTTTATGTCATCTAAGTATCAACTCAATAGCAAATCGAACACCTGCTTTTGTACTGTATATCACATGGTTAGCTGCATTGTTCTCTCAATTGAATACTAGCTGATCAGCTCTCAGTAGATTAGAATTGATGAACAAGAAAATGAGGGAATATTTCTCCATGAGGAATCAGAAGATTAAGGACAGCCTGGTGCACAAAGCATCTCGCATTCACGCAGGGTCCGGAGAAGGGCCACACCTCAAGGGGTGCGATGTAGACAACCCTTTCGGTGGAAATAGATGGAGGGGACTAAGCAATCCACATGTTAGCTAACGTATCCTGCATTAATTTCCTTAGTCCCTATGTAAGGAGTTATAAGCTCTTTATTCAATAATTCATTATGCTATCTCACACTCGATGCAATTTTTATTTTTATTTTTTAAATTCCCAGCTTAAGAATTTATTAGCTTCTCATTTTAAACGGACCATATATTAGCTTCTTATTCAATTTTCTTTTCATGGATTTTCGGTCTTATTCCAATTTAGCAATCTCTAAGAGAGTGATCCTCAACCTTCATATTCTATTCTGATTTCCCAATGATATTTCCTGTTTGTATGAATATCTAAAGCTTGACATTTTTCCACATTGGCTGGTTGTTGAGTTAGTAACAGTGATTATTGGATGTAGGTGGCATTTTCTGTTAATGGAGTTATAATTTTGACATTTTTGTGGCTATCCAAGGCGGTTCTTGAGGTAATTCTTCCACTAATTTTCTGTTCTTGTGTGCAATGTGGTACCTTACTTCGTAATGTACTTTCTATTCTATAGTCTTCTTTTGACACGTCCTCTGGGCATGTAGGTCTTCAGTTAATACATTGAGCTTCAAATTTTTTAATTATTCAGCATTTTTACTCTTTCAAGCTGAATGGGTCTTGTGCTCGCTGCATTTTATATGTGTGTGTGTGCAGGCGCGCACTCGTTTTGTACATCTTCTGATCAAACAGATATGAGAAAAGATTAACTTATCTGTACTGCACATAGCTGTCATCATAACACGGTCTAGAAGACTCAAATTGTCTGAGCGCTTTAAACCAAATAAGGACTCTTACTTCAAAATTGACATGGACTTCATTTGATGATTCATTTGCTCGCAGTATTGATTTTTGGTTCATTCTCTGACAGAATTGAAAACATTTTGAAGCTTTAGTAGGATGTTACTTCATCTTAGGCTGTGCAGCATGAGAATATTTTCAATTATACTCTTGCTTAGACCTATGCACCATTACTAATCAAATCTTTACTTGAGCATTTTCCGCAGTGTGAAAATAGGTCCTTGTCTTTGTTGATTAAACACTTATTAGTGAATTGAGTTCCTCGTAATCAGTATGAAAATAAGTGTACCATCTTGTCTTTTTTCACTCGTTAGTTCCCTTGGTCTGGAGGACTTCCTTTTTATAGTGAATAGTCCCTTACTTTGGTTTCCAGGTATTTTGCACCCTCGGGAGCGTAATTTTTGCTAGTATCTTGCTTATTCGAGGAGTATGGACAGGCATATCATACTTGCAGAATAATCACAGCCATAGGACAGACGATGATGATGATCGTCGTGCATGGAGCGGGGTGCAACCTGCGAGTTAAATGGCCGAATAGTAAAGCTTCAATGCAATCTCCCAATTACAGCTACTCTCGGAAACAAATAGTATACACAATAATTGGGTTTAGGCCCTTTTACATCTACTGAATTAAATCCCGCGAGGTCGAAGCTGGATCCTTTGTCTTAGACCTATGTGGTTGTAACTAGGATGTCAAACATAAATGTAAACCGCCAATTTATCCAATTTATGTTTGGAAATACGTCTATAATAGGTTAGATTTTGCACAAGTCAAAACTCTTTTTACGGACCAATTTGGTCTGCCTAAAAAAGAATTGGTAAACTATTACTCTCTTCGGTCCACAATAAGGGACCATTTTATCTTTGTCACACCCATTAAGGAAATATGAACTCCTAGAGAAAAAAATATGTATTTACTAAATTAACCTTAATTAGTAATAAAATTAATTCCTTTTTGATTATGTAAATGGACATTTATTTTGGACCAAAATAAAAAGTAAAATGATTATTTATTGTGGATCGGAGAAAGTACTGTGGAGGCTATTACCACGAGAACAAGTAGAAGTGTATGTTTATTGGAAAATTTACACGATACAGTAAGCATATACCGTATTTACCATTCGTCATTATATTTTAAAAAAAATTACCATCTTTAGCAATATTTGATTTTATAGGAAATCTACATATAATACCGAAATAAAAGACCATTGTTTTGAAATGAAACAAGAGAGCAACAAGCTCTCATAGCTTAGTTGGTTAGAGCATCCCTTAGTAAGTAAAGGTCTTAAGTTTGACTTTTAATAAGAGCATTTTATTTTCTGTATTTTTATATTTTGTCTTGGTTGTATTCGTTACGCGAACGAATACAGTTGATACAAGTGGTATCATTTGTATATGCCCATGTATTCGACTCAAGCATTTTATTTTATGTATTTTGCCTTGGTTGTATTCGTTGCGTGAACAAATATAGTCAATACATGCAAGGGCGGAGCTAGAGAGCAAGTTACGGGTTCGACCGAACCCAGTAGCTTTGGTTTAAATACTGTATTTGTTTTACGAAATTTATTAAATATGTATAATTATTAATTTAGAACCCAATATCTTAAAAATGATTCGAATCTCGAACCCATAAGCTGTAAATTCTGGCTCCGCCTCTGTATACAGGTTGTATCATTTGTACCGCCCTATATTTTACATTGGTTGTATTCGTTGCGCGAACGAATACAATTGACACACAATGTATTTGTTCTGCGTCTGAATACAAGTGATGCAAGCTGGTAACAATTAAATGGTAATTAGGCAAACTATAGTTACGCATGATAATTAGACTCTAAACTGCAGTTCTTTATGAAAGTTTCCCTAAAATTAAATAGGACCAAAGAACTAAATCGTTCTTTTTGAGATTGACGGTGAATGAGATTGTTCACATTTTAAAAAATAATTAATAATGATAGTATTTTCCAATTAAGGGTTCTGGGATTCGGTGGATGAGGAGAATATGGTTTAGAGAAAGAAAATATTCTTCTAACAGAAATTATGTATATAATTTCTTACTTTCTAGTAACATTAATATAAACATAATAAATCAACCTAAAACAAAAAAAAAAATTCTTAGATTCGATAATAAGCAAATTTGCCTTCGAAATGAGGTTTAACTTTTAAAACTAAATTGCAGTTTCAAAAAACTATAAATTTTAGCTTATGTCAGAAGTGTTCTTTGGATAAATTCTCTACAAATTGAATGAACTTTTAACATTTACAAAATAATTAAATAAGTAACTTTTACGCCACATATTAAACACCAAATCCAAAACACAACGCAATCTTCTATAGGGATATGTCCTTAATCTACTCAAAGTTGAATTGTTCATCCTCAAAGCAGGTCCCACAAAATACTTGTAAACAACATAATATTCCAACATTGTACTATACTAATAACAAACGAAAAGTTCATATAACTATAGATATTGAGATTTCTACTACGAAAAAAAAAAAGAGAGAGAGAAACACAATCTTTAAAGTGCATGCCAGGATTTTGTGCTTCTTTTTCCCTTTCTTTTCATTTCATATTACTTTTTAAATGAACTTTTATTACATATAAGAGTAGTTCTCTTCTAATTGGAAAAATTTCCTAAACTCAATGCACATATCACGCACCATTAAGAACATAGAAAAGAACAAAAAAAAAAAAAAAATCTTTGATCTTTAATTTCACCGACTTTTATGGTGCATTTCTACCTGAGTTTTGGTGAAATAAAGCATGGAACGTCAACCAGGACGTGCACACTTGTCGGCGGAGGATATCATTCTAATTACGACATTGCTTGTGTTTTAAGGTATCCGCATTGACTTCCCTCCTTTGCACCATTTAAGGAGACAGTCCTAAGATGAAGGGGAATTATGCTTTCTTTTCTTTCTTTATTTATCTTCAGCATTCAGCAATAAAATACTGTTTCGTCTGTTTTAATACAAACTATATATATATATATATATA